GGGGAGAAACAAAAAAAAAAAAAAGGATAGTAATAAGTGCTAAGGTGTGAAGGTCTAAACTCGAAATTTCTTACTATGAATTTTCACACACACACTAAGTGCTCATGGGTTAAATCTTTTAACAAGTGGTGTGAAGAATAAGATGGAGTATTTTACTTTAAGTGAGCATATAAGAACTCTTGAATATTTGAGACTTTGTATCTAATTGAACTTTAATTCCTGAATTTTCTTTGCATGCATATCATGTAGTTACATTCTTGCATTGGGATTTTGTGGGTAGATCCACTGCAAACCCTCACGAGACACAACTCGTCCACTAGGGTGACCTAGGAGTTTAAAGGCTTGTTGCACATGCTAGGTGCAATCGTGATTTCTACGAAAGTGAGTTAGGTTTTGTTTTGTTTCTTCTATCTTTTTATTTTACTCGAGGACGAGTAAAACTTAAGTTTGGAGGAATTTGATAAGCTAAATTTATATACATATTAATAGGGAATTTTTACTTTGATATTATTGATATTTGGATGAGTTTTATGGGATTTTGTTTGACTTTACATAGTTTTCATTTTTTGTGTAGAAAAGGATTTAATTAAAAGAAATCCTACTTTTTAGAAGTAAATTGAAGATATCAGAGACTTGAGGATCAACTTGTGCAGAATCCAGAAGTCAGGAACCAAATCTGCTATTTTACCATTGAAGAAATCACAAAAGGAGATTAGAAACCCGACACGGGTGTAGTGTCGACACATGGTCGGGGTGTCGACACCATGTGTTAAACGTCTAGAATCAAATTCTGTTTCCTATTTTGTGTCAACACGTAATCCGAAGTGTTAGCACCATGCGATCAGCATCCAAAATTTAGTTTCCTATTTCTGTTCCAAGTCCTACTTCTATTTCAATTAGGATTTCTAAAATCCTATAAATACCCATCCAAATTCAGAATTAGGGAGAGTTTTAGGAAGCTTGTGGCAGCCCTCTTTTTTGCATTCTTGGAGGTCAAGATAGAGGATTCAACAATAGGAGATCAAGGATTGCAATTTTTTCAAATTGGGTTTTATTCTTCCTTATTCATAACTATGATTGTAGATTTTATTATTTTTATTATGAACTGATTTATTTTATTAAGGTTATGATGTAGTCTAATCAATTTAATATAGATTTTGTGATTTTATACTTTTAATTAAAGTTATTCGCATGAGGAGTTTATATTATTGAACTTAATGCATTGAAAGCCTGATTATCTTTTAATTGATTTAGTGATTTATGCATGAACTTGAGAAAGAATTACGTAGATTAGACCAATAATAATATAAACCGTGTGTTAGATTATGAGACCAAGAGGTAATTAGCTCACATGTGGTAGTGGAGGAAGAGAAGAGAGTTAGTAGCTCCCCTTTTTTAAGCTAGAGGTTTCCATAGAATCTAATGCTTATTAGTTTGTTTAAAATTACATAGAGATATGATTAATTTAACAAATCGGTGAAGGATTAACTTGACTTAAGAAAGCTAGTTAATTAATTTAGGGAAATCCGTCATCACATGCAATAATACTCAACAATTTGGTAATCCAGAATTTATGGTATTATGGTGAAGTCAATGCCTTAATATTTCATATCTTGGTTAGTTTTATTTTAATTGTTAGTTTCTTTTTGTATTTTAATTAAAATTCCATCTTTTAGATTATTCAAATAAATTTAAATTAATTGTTTTGGTACTTAATTAGACACAATTCTCGTGAGTTCGACACTCTTTTATCATTATATTACTTAGAGCGACTAATACACTTGTTAGGGTTATTTTAGTGCATCACTTTTCAACATGGTCACCAGCGCGCCACATGGGGGAATTGCGAAATTGATTACAAATTTAGTTGAAAAGACCAGCACAGCACAGCTTCAGGGGATGTCTGGACCTGCATAAAAATGTCCCCATAGGGAGGCTTGTTTACTGCCCACCATTCTTTCTCTTAAAATTACGTCAAACTGGTAGATACTCTGTACATACTGCAAATATTGATTTGGTTTTAAGATGGAAACCTTTCTGAGTTTTATTCTTTTGTATTCTTTCTCTTCTAACTTCTGAAGACAGACTATGCATTTTGCAAAGTCAGTGCACACTTCAGAGTCCTTGAAATTGCTTCTTATTGAGGACAAATGAGGCTCAAGGGTGAGTAGCTGGTGGAGGAAACTCACAGAAAACGATATTTATTATCCGCATGAACAATTGTAGAAAGAAATGCTACTGTCTAGTTTGCCTAGTTTGGCCGTCCTCTAATGGATGATGAACTGCCTTTTTACCACAGAATTATGTTTAGATGCTATGTTGTCGAAGGTAGCGTGAAAGAGGTGGTGAAATTGGAATCAGAAGAAAGAAGAGGATATAATGGGAAAATGAGAATCATCCCACAGGAAGAAAAAGGAGCCAAATTCTGATCTTAGGTGTATTAGAAGCATGGGAATGCGGTTGTAGCTGTTGCTGTGACTATTACTATAGTTGTTGCTGTGGCGGTTAAATTATGATCAATTAACATCACTCACAAATCCAGTTGAGTCTTTTGACCCTAAATTTTATTAGACAGCGAAGTAAACGAAACTTTATAGGAAATGAAACCAATAATTGTTCTTCAGCCTGATCTCTACAAAAGTGTTCCAATGACAAAACTCTATAATTCAAAAACTTCTCAGGGACTTAAATGTAAAGATGGCTTTACATCTGCGCTGCAGTAATTGAGCCTTGTGTTTAATGGAATGAAAAGTAATTCTTTCTCTATTAAACCAGTCATTCTTGTCATACAAAAGTTCATCAAACAAAACGCCTCTGCATCTTTCTTCAATTATCAATGCGTGAATTCCAACAATTAATTGACACCCATTTAGTTAAGAACTAATCTTGTTTTGAAACACAAGATCAAATTCCTGTATCCCATTTTGTTGGCATCCGCAAACTCTTCCTTCCGCTGAGCTCTGGCATGTACCATGTACTCAGGCACATGCGCTGTTTGACACATTTAATGTGGCATTGCAAAAATACAAGAACCTGAAATCTGACTTTATCTTCATCATCCATGAATAGACCAGACTGAAGAGATCAAGCAAACAAACAAGGTAGACTATAAGCTAATTTTGTCCATGTTAAGTTCTTTCAGATTTGATATTACCCCCAAGATAAAGAAGATGTAAAGCTCTTTGATTCCTTGCCCTTAACAAATATAAGGCAGGGGTAAGTACCAAGTACGCTTGGACCAGTTTTGACCATAGATTGGTCCATCATCAAATAATTTATCTTTTTTAGTCTGGATCAAGGGTTTAATCCGAGAGATATACAAGGAAAGGACTACTTTTCGTTTTCCTTATATGGAAAATGAGTTGCTTCCTTCTGTAAAGAGAAGAGGAGAAAAGGGAAAATCAAATCCGACATGAAACTCTTTTTTGATTTCAGATAAAATGTATAGGGCTTCACAAGCTAAAACCCTCACAAACAACCTAAAAATAGCAGGGCCCTTCTTGGGAAGCCATCACCAGACATTCAAGCAAATCTGCTCAACAAAAAAACCTTGACAATTTGCCTTTTTCAAGGCCAACATGCAACACGGATGCATCAAATCAAATAAACAGAGCTTCATACGCCCCATTCCACAAGAAAAAAAGAAACCATCTCAAACATCCCATCAAAATGTAGGGTTGCCTGAGACATCATAAACCAATAAAAGGAAAGAAAGATATAAAGAGTAAAAAAAAAAATCAGCAGCCTTGAAGTTCAAGACCTTCCTGTAGGCTATAGCATTGCCATTGCTGGTATAAAAAATCTGCTTTCTACAATGTAGCTCCAAGTTTTGCTATTATTTCCTTTTACCCCCTCTGTTTTTCTGTCTTTTCAATTATCTCCAAATCATCATGCTCATTTATATAAGAACTGAAAAAAAAAAAAAAAAAAAAAAAAAAAAAGGGGGGGGGGGGGGGGGGGGGGAAAAAAAGGGGGAAAAGAAAGAAAAGTCCCTCAAGGGAGCCTCTTCTGAGCATCATTATTATTGAAATCAAGCCTTTTTCTCTTGGTGCCGGAAGAACATGAAGAATTATCTAGAACATTGACTGGCCTTATTCGAGATGGGGACTGTTCCGGCGAGTTTATAAGCTTTGATGAATTCAATTTCTCCATTTGCAGTTTCTGCATCAAATTATAGCATGAAACAACATCTTCCTGCCCAACAAAATATAATTCCAATCACATTAGCGTCAGAAACCCAGTTGTGTTTAATTGATTGAAGAATAAATATGTAAAAAACTCACAATTTCAAGAAATCCACAAGAAGAAACAGAGTTTATTTTACACTCCAATGCTTTTCTTGTTAATCTCTGATCTAATGCCGCCAATGTGGCGGCAGCGGCTACAACAGAGGGCCGGTGTTCTGTTAAGTTAATCTCTAAGCAATGAAGATAGCAAAAATCAATTGAGATATTCACCATTTTAATCAAAAAGAAAGATGGCTTTGCTGTTTTGATTATCCAATCTATCTCTACCTCTTATTATGGCCATTATGAAGTGTACTGTTGTTGGGAGAATATGATGCGGGGGAGACTTTGGGAACATTTTCCCGATGAAGTAATGAAGAAAAGCAAAGGGAGTGATTGAACTCATCCTCCATTCCAATGCGTTCAATACCAAAAGCTCCATTCTTTGAATCACTTTGCTCTCAAAGCTGTATTCTTCAAACTGGAACTCCGGCAGCAGCGGAACTTGAACTTCCTCCATCTTTGCCGCCAGAGAAAGACAAGCTGCTGAGAGTAAATGTATTGCCCATTTCTTTTCACCCTGAAAACGAAAACAAATTCTAAGAGATTTTCCTTTAGAAATATAAAAAGAACAAAAACTTTCCAAACTTACATCAATGGACCTCTTGGAAAGGAATCGATCAAAGTAAGTGATGGACAAATAAGCAGTTTGAAAGCGAAACCCGAAGATTTCTCTGTTCTGGATTGATGAAAAAAAGAAGAACAAAGTAATAATATCAACATCAATGACTATATTAGAATTTGATGAATACAGTGTGAATGAATTAAAAGGGGATTGAAAAACTAACTCTGAGAATCCAAGAAATAGCATTCAAACGGGCACATTTGATCTGGTTACTAAGAACCAAAGAGTCTTCCTTTTTGAACCCAAAACTGATTTCTCTTTGAACCAACATCTGCACATGCTCATCATCCTTGAAATTAGGAAAGTTAATGAAATTACCAGCATCTTCAACTTCCCTTACAATGTATTCTCTTTCTGGACAAAGGAGGTCGGAAAGAGAAGGATTATGCTCCATTTTCTTCTTCTTTTCGTAAGAAAATCTAAAGGAAAGTAGCAGATGTAATAATAATGACAGCGAAATCCATTATTTTGGAGAGAAAGAAAATGGGATTCCCTAACATGATTGAACACGAAAACAGAGTTTGGTTTCCTAGGTATTATATATCTTCATGACCTTCAAAATGTGTAAATTTATTCAAGAAAACAGAGTTTGGTTTTTTTTTTTTTTTTTTTTTTGGATATATTTGGTGATGACTGAGTTTGACTGGAAGTGGTCCAGTCCAGGGAGCGAGCAGTTTCGGGGTTGGAGGGAAGGGAACGGTTTTATCATATGCGAGAGAGTAGAGCGTGGACGACACGGTCCAATAAGGAGAGAGTTGGTGACGTCATCTGGGTACCGTACGTGAGGGACGTACATTAAACCGCACTTTCATCTTCTGTTGCTGGATCAGACGTGGGCTTCCATGTGGGCCCATCATTTATACGCTGACCGGTCAAATGTAAACCAGTGTATTGCCTTCTTCCCCGGCATCTCTACCATACTAGTATTTTGCATAATTAATTTTTCAATCTCTTGTTTTTTAGTTTAAATTACACCCAAAAAAAATGTCATCAAGAAGTAACTCAACTAATTTAAAAAAATGAGATTTTAAATTAAAAACCTTGAATTTGAATCTTAAGTTAAAAATGAGGGATTTGAAAAAACAAAGTAACTATCTTATATAATTCATTATTAAATATACTAAAAAAAATATTATATTAAATTGTAAAATAAAAATTATTAAATCAAAACAATTTTTAATATCAAAAAATTTATCCTTATTTAATAATTTCAATTGTGTAGTTAATACAATTTGATGAATTAAGAGAGGTGTCTCTCATTTTAAAACTCTATATGTATATATAAAAACCATACAAGATTGATCAAGGGACGATAACTTAATTGATTATTAAAAGCTTTGCTCTCTCATTTCATGGACAAATGTTCAATTGTTTAGAAGTTTACGAGAAGAAAATTCCTTGGAAATATTAATCCTTTAGGATGTGTTTAGTTTGAGGTCAATTTTCTTGGGAAAGGTTTTACTTAAGAAAGTAAATGAAAAAATATTATATGATAAGTTAGAAAATATTGTCTAAAAAATTGTTAACTTTTATAATAAAATTTTGTTGTTAAAATTTTATTAAGTTGTTAACTTTGTTAATTGTTATGTTGAATGGAAAAATCTTATATTGAAAATATAAAAAGAAGAACATATGAGTTAAATATAAAAAAAATTATTTGACATAAAGTCAATTGGTTTTAAATTGAAAGCAAATCTTGTATTAAAATTCATATGCTTAATTTTTATAATGTTTGATAAAAAATTAATATAGAAAAAATTATTAAATAAACCTCATATAAGAAAAGTTTTAGAGAATGTTTTTTCTTTCAAAAGCAATAGAAAAAAAAATTTACAAGTTAAGAATTATATAAAAAAAAATAAATACTAAAAATATTATTTTTATCCTTTATTTATTGTAGTTTTGATATATATAATTACCCAAATAATTTTATAGAATTGTGAAAGTAAGTGTTTTTTTTTTTAAAAATAAACCAAACAACTCAACAATGTAAATGACATGTCACATTATTTTTAATTAATT